TGGTGTTTTTCACAGTTCCACCTGCGGCTCCGTTGCTTCACGCGACCAGCGCGACGAGTAATTCGATCAACGTCCAATGGAAGAACAGGGACGATGGCGGCGCTCCGATCAGGGGTTATATCCTCCACTACAAACGGGAATCGGGCGAATGGGAGGAGATGAAGGTCTCCCACAAGATCAACAGTTTCGTGTTGTCGAGGTTGTGGTGCGGGAACGATTATCAAATGTATCTGACGGCGTACAATCGGATCGGCATGGGCTCGCCAAGCGAGATAGTGAAAGCGACGACGAACGGATCGAAGCCGGAGAACTCGCCCAGCAACGGTGATAAATTCGTCACCGTGAACGTGTCGTGGATCACTCTTCATCTGAGCATGTGGAACGACGGGGGATGCCCTATCACGCATTTCGAGCTCGAGTACAGGAAGAATGGCGAAGATATTTGGACGTTGGTGTCGAATAATATCGAGGTACGACACGCCCAATTTTCTTTCCGTACAGTTCGATCGGATTCGACCCAATGCCAAGAGGTGATTTCGTGACGGCAGCGAATATTTTGCGCCGATAAATTCATGGTATTATATAGCAAACGTGGCAGTTTATACGTTCGGCCGCGCTAATGCGAAATATTTCTGCCAAGATTGCGAATTTGTGGCGAGTTTTCTTTCTCTTCCATTTATTTTTCCTAAGCATTTTCTTCTCTCTCTCTCTCTCTCGCTCTCTCTCTCCTCTCAAATCGCATTTACCAAAGTAAAAATAAACGCAGAGAGAGATCGAGAGAAATTTGATTCTGTGATTCGTTTCGTTAAAATTTCCTCGATATTCAAACAATTCGATTGTTCGCCCGAGAAAAAAAGTGTTCACGCGAAAGAAGGATGGATTAGTAGCAGCGTAAATTAGTTCGAGGACAAACAGCCAACGGCGTTCTTTGCCCAGGTGCAGAAAACGTACACGTTGAGCGAGCTGCAGCCTGGGACTACGTACGACATTCGAACGAGGGCGCACAACAACGCGGGTTTTTCGGTGGCCGAATACAGGATAACGACCCTGCAACCTCACATCAGCAGCACCGTCCCATCCGTGGAGATCGATCAATACATCCCTCAGCACACGTCCGTCTACTCGGATCTAAAGCTGATCATCCCTCTGATATTGAGCTCACTGGCGATCATCGCCGCCGCCGGTGCCGTTTTCTATTGTTTCCGTAAACGTAAGAGTAGCCGATTGGCCGAATCGAGTACATTCGCACATTTGCGACATCCGACGTAGGCACGCGTGGGTAACGTTTTAATGATAATGACCGTAGGTCCATTTATAGGGGAGATGGCGAGCCTTCACGACGCCCAGACTGCGGCCGCCTTAGACAATAAGCAGAATATGGAGCAGCGTGAACAGTACTACGCGACCGTGCGCAAACCGCTTCGCTCGCCTATACACGAGATGGGTACCTTGGAAAAAATTCCAGGTAATCCGGGGAGGGGAGGGGAGAAACGCTTGTTAACTTGGCTTAATTGGCTGATTACAACTCTTTCTTTGTTTCGAACGAGGTGTAAATTTTACTTGCGGCGATAAAAAAAAAAAGAAGACGTCTTTCAGTGGTTTTCTTGTCTCGAACGTGTGGTCATTCGACCTTGATGGCTCGTTTCTTTTTTTTTTTTTTATTAGCTGTTACGTAATAAGAGAATACGTTCTCTTCGTCGAAAGCTACAATCCATCGATGCGAGTAGTTGAGCGAGCGAAAATTGTAAAAAAAAAAAAAAAAGAAAGGAAAAAAGCAAAGAAGAGACGCGTTGAAACATGATTGCAGAATACTCGGAGGACATCTATCCGTACGCCACCTTCCAGCTAGAGGAGAGCGTACCACCAGGGGGTGATAGTCGATGTAATTCCGCGGCGCCTCTTCAGACCTTCGTCTATCACGATCCCCGTCTGTCCACAGCCGACACTCTTCAATTACGAGAGGTATCGTCCCACGTTCAGTTTGCTTTTGTCATTCACCATCGCTTTCCACCATTCGTCATTCGTCGTGCCTGTTCACCGACCTAACTAGGAGAACACACTTGCGCGCACCGCATGCATTCTCGAGTTCGTCCTTGCAACGCTCTTCACGTATAATTGCCTCGAACAAAAGTTCGTATTTTTTGCTGCGATGTTCGAATGTTAAAAAAAGAGATAAATAAATAACATCGAAACGAACATCTCCACAATTTTTACAAAATTGCATCGATTGCAAATAAATCGATAAGTAAAAAAAAAAAAAAAAAGAAAAAGATACGAACTTTCACCGTGTTTCACCAAAGTGAAACGTATTCCGAAACAAAGCTTCGCTTCCTCCTCGCTATCGTATATTTATATGTATACCGAACGATGGAAAAATCGGATCGGTAGAGAAAGCAGAAGGGGATTAAAATCGCATTAGAATTTCGCTTCAGAGCATGTTGCAGCAAGAGCGCGCTTATGCACGATCCTGATCACAATTTCGCGCGTGCGTATCGGTCTTGGCTATCGGGTTTGTTGTTTAGCACAGATTGTCTGGCACGAACGTTTGTTTGTACGATTTTTTTTTTTCCGCGAGCTCGAAAACACGCGGGCTCGAAAACACGGGCTCGTATAAAACATCGTGTCGTGTCGTAAACGTCGTTCCAAAGATATAGACAATAATTCAGACGCAGAAACAATTTAAAGAGAAAAAAAAAAAAAGAAAAGAACGTGTTTGTAGAGAAACGCGCGTGGATCGAGTAGAACAGATGTGCATCATAGAGGATCGATCATTGTGACTGCTGGTCCCACCTTGCTTCGTTTCGCATCTGTCCTGATCAGTCCATCGAGGAACCGCAACACCGATGCAACAACGATACTTTTTTTCTTACATGTATTATACATATATATATGTATATATTCGCCATATTCTACACATCTCTCGCCAATCTCTTGTCATTTATTAGCTCGTATAGCTGTAGAATAAGAAAGTATACGTCTTCTCGAATACCGATGTTCAGGTATATGATATCTACGTATCATGGATCATATATATATATATATATGTATATATATATTTGATCATAGAGAAGAGACAGTAGCGCGAGTCGAAACGAGTTCAAAGATCAGAGTCGCTTGATCTCTGACTCGATAAATACGTACCGCGATACAAATATCGATCTTAAATATGCACGACGGTGTTGTACATCGGACATCGCCACGCCACATGTGTTACCGTCCATAAGTCACGAAAAAGATGTTGAAGAGAAGAGAAAAAAAGAACGAAGAGACTCGCGTTATTATTATTGTATTTGTAAGATTAGCAAATCCGGTGGTGACTTACGAGTGTGCGCGACATTGTATATGAAACGACAAATGGGATGTGACTCTGATCCGAAGATCTCTGGATCTAGCAACGAACTAACGATCAATTCTCGCTATCGATATTCGATATAAAGATATGAATATATATCGGTGTAGCGCGTCTCCTCGTGCGATGATGTGCGAAAATTCATGGGAACAAATTCCGTGTGATTGCAGTCGGATTGCAACCGGTACACTAAGGTGCGCGGAGGCCGTTCGTCCTCTGCGCCGTTGCACAAAACGCACAAGGTCAGTCAGGGCAAGTCCGAGTCGGAGGAATACGACACCCTGGGCTCGGACAGCGACACGGAAGTCGGGACCAGCAGCCGAACCGAGTCTTCAAATCACCTCGTCGATTCCCACCACTCGGTGTCTGCGGCCGACTCGCGTGTCCACAGTATGCAAATCTTTCATCCTTCTTCTATTCTTTCATTCCTCCAATCTATCTATCTATCTACATCCCTGGTCTGTCTCTAGTTTCGTCTTTGATCCTGCTACAAAAAAAAAAAAAAAAGAAAGAAAAGAAAAGGGAGAGAAAAAAGAGGGCGCGCTTCTCGTTCCTCCCTTTCGATGACCGTGATGACCATGTGTGGAATAAAGGAGAAAAAAGAAGAAAAAAAGGAAAGGGAAAAGGGAAAGGAGAGGAAGAGTGTTACCTAGTTTTTTCCATGCACCACGCAGTACCACCGATTCGACGTCCGTTCCCCCATTGCCTGTCTATATATATATATATATAAATATGTATATATATATATTTATTTATTTATTTATTTATATATTTATATACTGTTTATTTAGAGTGCACCAAATATGTGATCGAGTATTTCACGCTTGTTTGTTGTCTTCGTTGGAACGGAATCGGGAGGGAGGGAGGAGGGGGAGGGAGAGTCGTCGTCGTCGTTTCGAAGAAAACGCTCGCCCGATTTTCTCATCATGGTGAAAAATCGTTGCGTTCTCTCTTGCTTTCAGACTTCCTGTACCATGGACCAGAATCTAGCACGTCTACAGAACCCTCACCGATTTTTGAGAGAAAATCGTTTCCTGGAAGGGGAAGATCCAAGTAAGAGATTTATTCGAGAAACAAAAATTATATATGTATATGTTGTAATCGTTATATAATCGAAAGTTTGAAACGAGGTGAATTAATGGTCGATGCTCGTTCCTCTCGAAGGATGTTACAGCTGGCGCGTCATACCAGCGAGGAGACCCGTTCCAACTTCGGCCCAATCTCCGGGTTTGGCAATTCCAAGCACCAGTCGAGCAATTCCTGCTCCAATCGGGACCAGGAGCGTGACGGATCAGGGAATCTGTTCGTCCCCAAGCTGGACCCACCCTCGGGCTTCTCCGACGCGTTTGAGCTAAGCGAGGCGGAGTGCGACCTCGATCGCGGCCACACCAGCCAACGAAACGTCCGTGACTTTGTAATCGCGGTGTAAATAAAAATGAAGAATTGTAGAGAACGGTGATACCAAGCGAAACGAACGAAACTCCATTTCATTTCAAATATCTCGATGTAAAGGAAAAGAAAAGAAAAGAGAAAAAAGAGGAATGCACCATCATAGGTCCGTCTTTCGTTAATTTATTCATCGGCCATCGTGGCGATCGTGCGTGCCCCCCGTTCGTGTTCCTGGCCTATGTCGATGGAAAGGAAAAAAAAAAAGAAAAAAAAAAAAAAAGAAAAGGAAAGAAAAAGCGTGGATCGTATCCTAGAAACGAAACGAACGTACCTATCGAACGAACTCGATCATGTATTCTTCGAACTGCCAATTTTAGTTTTTCGATCGGAGGAAAGAAAGAACCTGCGACCATCGTTTATTCGATTTTTCGAGTCGATCGAACTTTTTTATCGATTGTCTCGTTGTTGTCACGAGAGAAAACGAAGATCATCGTTACAGGAGACTCGTCCCCCCCATTTTGCGAATTAGGTAAATTTTTATCGCAGGTTTTATCGAACGACGATTACGCGCATAATTGTTCGAGTTCGATCAACAACGTCCGTTTTGACGTGTGAGATTCATTCGGCATTAAGACTGCGACAGATGAGAGCCATAACTCTGCCACAAGCGCGAGGAAGATTTTTTTCGACTTCGTGACGAGAAAAGACTCCTATTATCTTTTTAATTAAGATCAAAGACTCGAATCGTCGACTAAATATTAATCGTCGAACGCGAAAATCGTCCTGTTAAGACTACGTTGCAGCATAAACTCCCACGAAGAAATACTCGGTTTCCATTCGATACCGAGTGCATATTCCAAACGAGCAATACGAGTGTTACGATTTGTTACGAGTTTACTTGGTCTTCCAATTTCGTAGATCGTTTTATCCACTGATTTTCGATCAGTCGTCCTTTTTCAACAAAGAAAAAAAAAAAAAGAAAACGCGAAGCGTGATCAAATTCCTTTCGCAAGCGTATTTCTCGTTCGTGTGAACCAACCAGCCCACGTTCACGCGTGTGTAATAAATAAACGAAGCTAGGCCCTGAAAGAACAAAAATGATGTTTCGTCGTTGTCATCGGTGTCGTTTCATTTACTGCGAGACTGAAATTTTTTTTTTTTTTAAGTAGACGAGACGTATAGAGACGTAAAACTTTAACGTTCAAAGCAAAATAAGAGAAAAGAAAAAAAAAGAATATAAAATAAATAAATAAATAAATAAAATTGTCTGTAAGATGTCTGTAATTATGCAATGCTGTTAAATAATTGTTAAGGTACGTGTTTGTGTACCTCGACACGACGGAAAGAAACGCGACGAACGACGCGGATCACGAGAAAACGAAGGGAAATAAAAAAGATTCGATACTTGGTTGAAACGAGTTGAAAGCGATCGTTTCGCCGCGTTTGAATTTCGCGCGTCGATTAACGATCGACGGACCGAGTGATACGCTACGGGAAACCAGACGACAAAACCAAAAAAACAAAAAACCAAAAAAAAAAAAAGAAAATAAAAAGAATAAGGTAAAAAAATAAAAAGGAAAAAAAAACAACGCAGAGTATTAATAAATTTATTCGACTGTCGTTAAGGGAAAAACACACACACACACGCACACACACACACACTTACCGAGTCTACGTAAACCCATCTGTTGTCATCGAATCAGTTTAATAATCGTACGTGCAAGCAAATCGATCGTTCACTCGGCAACGTGACGATGATTTTTGAGTCTGAGTGCTCTCTCTCTCGTTATATCTCGGTGTCCCCGATCAGGAAGCAACGCGAGCACCGAAATGATCGGGGGCTACGAAAGAAGGGATATCGATCTGTTGACAAATCGTATACTTTATAATATATGAACGAATGATTTACCACGAAATTCGTACTATTGTGTTTTTAGACGACTTTAGATTGTTTATATTCTATTTACTTTGTAAAATATACAACACTAATTCCATAACGGATATCCGATTGTCTGCCACGTTATTATTATTCATTGCACTCCTTTCTCCTCGTGTCTCTCTCGATTTTATTTTAAATCCTAGCCGACACTAGCCGACGCTCGACGTCGTATGATAAAAATTGACACGAAAAAAAAAAAGAGAATTATGAAAAAAGAAATATAGAAATTTCGGTATATAGATAATAATCGGACGGTAAACCTTCCCTTCGAACGTACGACGAGCCTCCCTTCGTCCGGACAAAGCCGCTCCGACGGAAAGGGTTCGATTCGGTTAAAACGGTGCCGATCGATCGCACCGTTTCGTCCTCCTCCCGATCGTAGATTGGAATATGCAAAAGGAGCGATATAGGTGCGGGTGTGTAGGGTCGCGGAATCCTCGATATACGAGGGAGGAAGAAGGGGCAGAGGAGGGGAGGGGTAGGGAGGGGTGGGGGAGAGGAGTATGGACCGGTGAGGTCGAAACATACAGGGTTGGCGGGCATGCGCCGACGTTTTGCTTTCCTCTCCAGATACTATGAGCGGTGGTGTCTACGGCGGAGGTATGTGATACGCGGTCCGCAATATTTACGCGGAAAAAAAAGGGGTGCGCCGCCCCGCGAAAGGGAATTTTCGGGTAAATCGTTACGATTTTTGCCGCAGACGAGGTCGGTGCTATAATTTTCGACGTTGGACACCAGAGCCTACGCGTTGGTTATGGCGGTGAGGACACGCCGAAGGCTGAGATCCCGACCACCCTCGGTGTATGGGAGGACAGCGTCGAGTCGGCGGACGGAGGTCAGAACGTCAGGAAGCACTACAACATCGATGTCACGGCCATTCAAGTGCGAAAGAAGGGTACGATCATTCCGTAATCCTATCACGCTTGGTCTCCGGGTTTTGGTTTTTGACGCTTCCTTTCCTCTCGCTCGTGAATTCCATTCGAAGGAAAAAAAAAAAAAAGGTAACAAAGGTGGCGGTATCGCGTGTACCAATTTTTCCATCGCATCGATTTTGATTCCGGTTAATATTCTGGATTGGTCTTCATAACACGATTCGTATCCTTTTATATTTAGAAGAAAAAAAATGGTAAAAAAGGAGGACAACTACGTGAGCTGTTTATTTTATCATTCCAGATATGGAGATGGTTAGTTTAATGAAGGACGGGATGATCGAGGATTGGGACATGTTCGAGCGGCTGACGGAGTACACGTACAAGCAACGGCTTCACGCTCTCGCGGAACACCATCCGATCCTGATGACCGAGTGCCCTTGGAACACGAGGTTGAAGCGGGAAAAATTGCTGGAGCTGATGTTCGAGAAGTTCAACGTTCCGGCGATGTACATCTGCAAGAACGCCGTTTTGGCCGCGTACGCGAACGGAAGATCGACGGCCATGGTGGTGGACAGCGGGGCGACTCACACGAGCGCGGTTCCTGTGCACGACGGTTATGTAATCACCCAGGGGATCGTGAAGAGCCCGTTAGGCGGTGATTTCATCACGATGCAGTGCAGGCAATTCTTCGAGGAGAAGGAGATCGAGCTGACGCCGGCCTGCCTGGTCGCGAGCAAAGGCAAAAATTTGTGAAAAATTTTTCTCGATCGATCGATAATAAATCGAAGACGAGGGGGGAGAAGCAATGGCGGCGAGTTTAATCCGATCGAGCGTTGACTTCGGCCGATTGGCTTGTTAATTAGATAGATTAACAGATCGACGTGGTGATAAAAAGGAACGCGTGGTGGAGCGGTTTCTATTATAAGGCACAAAAGGGAGCAGTTTGAATCCTTTTCAAAGTGCATTTTGAACGATGAACGGCGCGCTGTGTGCAGAGCACTCGGGTCGCAACACGTTGAATGCATTCATTCGACGTTGGCGCACGCGCTGGCCAGATTTACCGAACACTCGTCATCGTTTCGCGCTTTTGAAAGGGTTAAGGATCGTTTAGAGCTCAACATTTTTCTCCATCGCCTTTTCCCCTTTTTAACCGACCCTTCTCTTTTCTAATATCTCGTAATTCCGGATACGACGGTCCGCGTCTATTTATAAACAGGCAACAAACGCTCGTACATTTGTACCCCAGCGCACGTTCCCCATTGCTTCTCCTCGTACGTAGATTGATCGATCGCGCCGAGGAAAGACGATTGACACGATACGATATCATGGCACAGATGTGGTCCGTGAAAGGGATCCACCACGCTGGATCAAGAGGGCCGGTCCCCAACCAACGTCTTCCTGGATGAGCTACATGGTCAGAGAATTGTTGCAAGACTTTCAAATGAATTGTCTGCAAGTCTCGGACAGTCCTTACGACGAGGATGTAGCCAATACTTTGCCAATGAAACACTACGAGTTCCCGACCGGGTACAACGATGATTTCGGTTCCGTCAGGCTGATGATTCCCGAAGCCCTGTTCGATCCCAGCAACGTGAAGGGTGTTGGAGCCAGCATTCTTGGGGTTGGTCCTCTAGTCACCACCAGTGTGGGCATGTGCGACATGGACATCAGACCTGTAAGCTACTTCTTTTATGCCTCTCGACGCATCTCGAACAGTCTTCGAAAGAAATCGATGATAATTAATTAATCTCATTTGTTGAAATGAAATACTATTCTTTTTCTTCTTTTCTTTTTTTTTTTTTTAGAGTTTGTACGGAAGCGTGGTGGTTACCGGCGGCAATTCCTGCCTCCAAGGTTTTAGCGAAAGACTGAATCGTGATTTAGCCAGCAAGACTCCTCCAGTGAGTATCATTGTTTTTTTTTTTTTTGAAAGCAATTTTTTGTAGAGTTCGACGTTGATCGGATGAGTTTTACAGAGTATGAGACTGAAAATAATTAGCGCGAACAGCTCGAGCGAACGGAGATACGGTGCGTGGATCGGTGGATCGATCCTCAGCTCCCTTGGATCCTTCCAGCAGATGTGGTTGTCGCGGCAAGAGTACGAGGAATCGGGTAAACTGATTCTGGAGCGGTGCGCGTGATCGAAAGCTCAATCAAAATGATATTTCGTGGTTATTTTTACAAATATCGTCCGACATTTTTGTACGTGTAACTAGTTTGTGTGCGCGGTCGAGGAGATTCGAGGTCAATTTCCAACTAAGTTATATAAGTATATTTCGAATCGATCATTTCGGAGCGGCCAACACGAGACGACAATACGAGCGATCAATATCAAAAACGATTAATATCAAAATGGTTTTGCGCGAGACGCGTGTTAGACAAATTTACATGCTCGAAGAAGAAGCAAAACGTTGAACTAGCGTGTTATTCTTGAAACGTGTGCTATCCGTTCATATGTTCGATGTAATCTTTACTGGAACTCGATGAAAGATTTCTTTAAAGATTTTTGAGATTCGAAACTTGATATGTAAAGTTAACGGCATTGCAAAAATGAATGTTTCTTAGAAGCATCGAGCTTGAGTCTCGAAGCTTTCCAAGTGATATAGGAAAATTTCAAATCTTTGATTTCTTTGAAGATGAAAGATTCGAGTTCTCTGCTTGGATTGTATAACAAATTTCCTTGGATAAATGCATGCGGTGCGCTTCCAAAAGAAGAAATACAGTTCCTAACTGCTCGAACAATCTTGCGTTAACAATTCGGATCTATCGTTCGATATTACAATGGAAGAATCGAGAGTGATGATAGATGTGAGAAAAGAAAAAGGAGGACTGATTTTGAAAAAAAGATTTCACCGTTTATTTCGAATCCGTAATAACACAACAACAAATTACACATGGTTATTCCAATTACAGTTTATTATTGTTCACGCTATTCTCTTTCGTCATTCGTTGTTCTTTTCCTTGTTTCAATTTTTCTTTTCTTATTATTATAATAAAAAGAAGGAAGGAAAAATAATAATACAGTAAAATAAAATTGGGGAAAACCGCGAACCGCAACATTTCATTTTAAAAAAAACGCGTCACGAGCAGTTCCAATTCTACAACGACAAATATATAATATATTACGACGTAGTAAACAATATAATATCTTTTATATAAATATATATATATACTATATATATATATATATATATTTATATTTCAAAATAAATGTAGGAAACAGTATTATCGATATATCACATATACAATATGTATTTAGGAAGAGGCGAATTATTTTGTTAGAAAAAAAAAAAAGAAGAAGAAGAAGAAGAAAAAGAGAGAAAGAAGGACCTTTCTCGCGTCGAAAAGCGACGAAATTCTCGTTCGTCGAGACGAATTTTTGTCCTTCCAGATGTTTGATCCGCGATTCGATTCGATAATGATTATAATTAATACTTTCGCGTGTTCCAACAAATATTCTGTCCGCGAGGGAATGTTTAAAAAATTTCCGTTGTGATATTAAAATTCGATTTAATTTTCTCTCGTTTTATGAAAAAGGGAAGAAAGTGGAGTTGATTTCTGAAGAGGCGTTGAGAAACAACGCTCAACTCGTAGATTACTGTAGATACGCGATGGTGCATCATGGTTCAAGCGAAATTAAACAATTAAAAATAGTGGTAATCTCTTTACCAGTGTGTGTTTTCCAAAACCATATAATCGAGTAGAAGAAAGAAAGAAAGAAAGAAAGAAAGAAAGAAAGAAGAAAAAAAAATATCGTAAATCGAATTCGCTGTTTCATTCATCGAATCCACCCATGACAAGCGGCGGATAATCGATGCGTTACGCTAACTAATAAATACTGGTATCGTTCTTATCATCGAACGACCAACGTGAAACGGCGTAAAAACCTAATAGCTAAAAGACGCATCATAAAAACGCATTTACACGTGTTTGTAACCATAATCGGTAAACTATCGCGTTTAACAAGTGTATCAGCGGCGACACTCGACCACGTGGATCGAATTCTATCGAATACATTTGAATCGAGGCGAGACTTCCTCGTCTGCATCCAATTTCTGGCTCGTTTGTCGCGTATTTTCGTTCTTCGTTTCTTTAAAAAAAAAAAAAAGAAAACTCACAACAAAATAAAATCTAACCAGTTGTAACATAATCCTGTTCCTAGTCTTTTAAATATTTGTACCAAATAAATCTCAGAATCGATCGAACTTACAATCTAACGAGTTGAATTTTCTCATTCAGGAACATCGGTATCGATAGCACTTCATTGTGAATCGTAGTCCACACTTTTCAACCATCGTCCTCATTTCCGCATCTCGGATGAAAAAAAAGAAATATATATATATATATATATATATATATATGACGACAAACTGTTACGATTAATATTTCGAACGATGCTCGAATACTTTGCGGTTTCAAAGTTAAATATAAACGGAGAGGTATGATCGAAAATGATCGTCTCGACGTTTCGCTATATCTACATTGTAACTGACAGTACATAGTGTTTGTAAACCGTTGCGGTTTACGAACGACGTTATATACACTCGATTATCGACGTTATTCGAGGCCGTGTGGACGTGATCGAAGATGATTCGACAATAAATAACATACTTGTTTATCACGGCATGACGATCGTGCTCATTCGTATAATCGTTGTTAGTAAAAAAAAAAAAGAAAAAAAAATAACTTTTCTTTCGTACTTCTGTCTTCTAGCTTCCCACTCGTTTTGGTTGTGGCAGACCGCAAATGGCGTTGTGAACCGGCATAGATAACCAACCAGCCAACGCGATTCCAATGGAATCGGCCATCGTGGCAATGCCCAAGGAAATTTTACGATCCGCTCTTGGAATCTGCAAATCAGATGAAATAATATTACGTGCCGTTCTTTAATTATTATTATTATTATTATTATTATTGTTGTTGTTGTTGTTATTATTATTATAGTATTAGATATTGGAGAGTATGTGTACATCACATAGGCAAAGATACCATGCGCATAGATTAAGGAACGACGATAATTTGTCAAAGTAAAGTTTACGTTACCTCGGTGGACATTCGATAAAATGTATTCACGTATGCCCCACCACCGAGAAGGCCTTCCCACAAAACGAACATGAACACGATCCAAATGTTGGGCAAGTAATAGAAGAGCGTCTCGAACAGCAAAATAATAACGTTGATAAACTGAAAGAAATAGAAAGATACGAAGATATAAATCTTGACACGCTCGATTACGATTATCGAGGAGGAGGAGGAGGAGGAGGAGGAGGAGATCTCGTACGTTTCCATTGAATATCGATAACGAGTAAATAAGTTTTTGGTCGATACCTGTAGCACAGCCATGATCCAGATTTTGTTAATCGTGACGAGATTGACGGACGATCTCGAGATAAACACTCCAATCTGATAATCCACCTGAAGCCAGCGATATTGTTCGGCGTGAGTTAACCAAATGCCGTCGAATTCGATCAGCTCGTACTGTAAAAGATTAAAGTGACACGTGTCGATGAGAACACCTGGATTATCCGTGTTATTCTATTACGTACGCCCATACGTAATTGCGTCTATTCTTAGCCGGAAATTATAGCAACAATATTTTGTAATCTTATTAGCGTGAAATACATAAAGGCAAAAAAAAAAAAAAAAAAAAAAAAGAAAAGAAAAATAATAAAAACAAAAAAAAAAATGAAACAATACAGCTAAGAAGCAGAGGTAAAGGAGGAGAGAGAGGGCAAACACAATTCTACAAAAAAGCTCGTGTAACAAAAAAGCATTACCAATCCTTGGTTAATGAAATATTCGAAGAGGTACACGAGCCCGAGAGGAATCATATACTTCAGCAATCCCGGTACCAGATTGATCTTTTCTTTAAAGCTCTTCCTAGGGATCTCAATGATTTGCTCTTGGCTGTCGATACCGTTCTTAGTGATCGGGATACTGGACTGCGGCGGATGGACCAGAACCAACCAGAAAGTGATTCCTTGTATGATCGGTACGATTAACATAAGTAACAATGTATCTTCGTTGCTTAACCACGTGGTGAGGGAGGCATAAGATAGCGCGCCAATTATTCCGGCGCCTCCAGTACCGGAAGACCATGTCGCGATTACTTGTCTGCGAAACAATGAATCGCTCTCAATTATGATGGGGAACAATGGCGAAGGTTAGACGGGAAGAGAATTCGACAACGAATGTGGACGGATTAATATCTGGCAGGATGATAACTGAGTTTTAACGATAAAGAGGGAAAAAAAAAAAATAATAAAAATAAAAAGAGAAAAAAATTAATAAAAGGGGAAAAAAAAATAAGAACATGACGTAATATCTTTCCTAAAATCTCGAATTTCCATAAATTCTTACGAATGATCGTGTTAGAATCGGATACACGTTTGAAATGCACGTTTCACTCGTATATATATGTGTATATATATATATATATATGTATATGTAGTCACGAGTCGCGAGTTGTGTTTCTTTCTGATGAACTTTTGCAACGGCAAGGTTAATCGTTAGTGAAGAGAGAATGACAAAATGACAAAAAGAGATAGATAGATAGATAGATAGATAGATAGATAGAGATAGATAGATAGATACAGATAATGGGAAGAATAGAGTAGATCGTAATTAACAGTTATTACACATAAGTACAGACGTACCTCGTGCTCGCAACGAGTTTTTTCAGAATCCCGTACTCTGTACTTTTTTTATATGTTTCTTTTATTTTTTTTTTCTTTTTTATCTTATTTTATTTTCGTATCAAAACTTTCGTATCGTATTATTACACATATTATACTTTTTTTTTTTTTTCTAGTCTTAAACATGGAAGGCCAACCTGTCGACGACCATTATCTTATCTCTACTTTTCTGGAACAACTGTCTAAAATGTCAATATTGCGGTTTTATGCTCCGCTGCCTCAATACCCTGCATCAATTGATTTTACATCGTATTTCTTTTTTCTTTTTATCTCTTTTCGCCGTTTCTACTTTCGTCCGTTTTACTCTCTCTATCTTTACGTTTATTTTTTTTTTTTTCTTATTCCTAATTTCATCTTTTTCTCGTTTATTTTTTTTTCTTCTCTCTCTCTCTCTCTCGCGCACATTCTGTGATCCTCGAGCATCGGCTAAGATCAGAAGAGACACACAGATAATAAATTATTATCATTATCGTGTTCGTTAGAGAACGAACAAAAAGACGATTATTAAAGGACGAACGTAAGAAAAAAAGAAAAAATACGATGCGTTCGACGCATGCATTTGTAATCGCGTTTATTATTTTTTTTTTTTATTCCTGAAGAAAATTGAATGAAAAAGAAAAAAAAAAAGACGGAGAACACGATGCATAAAACACTGTCTGTGTACAATGTTCGTCGATATAGAATAGAGAGAAAGAAACGATCGCGATAGATCATTCAGAGAGAATAATAATAATAATAATAATAAAAAAGAAAAAAAAAAATACCAACAATATGAATAGAAAATGGAGGGAAACGGATGAATGGTACTTACTTCGGATACTTGTGGCTGTAACTCAGCAGAGTAACTTCTCCCAAACCGGAAGAGAGTGACGTTATAACGACGCCCAGAATGGCGAGCCATTCAGTAGTGCTCAACGACACCACGAGGAATCCTGCAGCGGAAAATAACACACAGGTAGCCAGTCGAGCACTGTAATTAACGATTCGATTAATCGATTAGCGTTTTTCATTCACGGGAAATAGCGACGTGCCCGCGGAGGGGCACGACTCCGGAGATGATCCGTCCCCCGAGTGTATAGCGGCCTTCGTGGCCGGAGAAAAAGTCATTTAGAGAAGTCATAGGCCACAAATAAAATGTGCGTGTGCGATGAGAAGCGTACGACGTCAACCGGCCTCCTACGTTTCACCAAAAAGGAAGAAACGCGCTGAACACGTAATACGATTTTCGCGCTCTCGAAGGATTACGACTCTCGTATCTCTATTCAAAATCGAATAGGAGGATCCTCGCGTCCTCCTTTTCCTCCCTTTTTCCTTCTCGAAAAATGTCACTACGCAAATGTCACGATGTGCCCATTATCGATGCGATACGCGGACAAACTCATCGATAAGATAAATCACGTATATTCGCGCGATCAATCGTTTCGCTACCACGTCGCACGAACCGTGAAATCGAGAAGAATTAGTGAGTCATTGTCGGTAATTTCGACTTCATTAAATTATTTAAATAGTTGGTTATCGTTCAAGAGAAAAAATTCGATAAAAAATGCAATAAAAAATGCTCGTCCCGTCTCGTTCGCGCGTACGTTTTTAAATATGTTTCGTTTACCATATTACCATATTACTGTTGATCTTTCTTCTTTTTTTTCTTTTTTTTTTTTTTTTTTTTCAGTGCTCATACTGGCTCTTTTTCAGTGCTCGACGCAAAGA